AAGCAGCTTGGAGCTGCTGCCGTTTGTAATTATTATGTGTCACCGGTGGCAGCTTGGAGCTGCTGCCGTGCGTGCGAAGATGGGTTTTTTGCATAGTTCCCCGCAATTTTTATCGCTGCTGGCACCGTTTTTTCAACAAATTTTTCTAGATAAACAAATTAAGACTGAGTGCCAAAACTGTCAGGAAAGACCCCATTAAAATTTCAGCTTTCTAGCTTTCCTGGCTCCTGAGTTAGCAACTTACGGGAAAAAACTTTCACGGGCCTGCAGGTGGGTACCACGCACACCCGATGTCTGGGTATGAGCTCGTTGAGACTTACATGGACGGGGAACATCCTCTTAAAACTACAGTTTTCTAGCTTTTCAGGTTCTCGAGTTAGCAACTTACCCGAGAAAAACTTTGATGAGCCCATGCGTGGGTACCATGCGTACCCGGAGTCTGGGTTTAAGCTTAGTGAGACTTCGATGAACGAGGAATATCCTGTTAAAATTACAGCCTTTTAGCTTTTCAAATCCCCGAGTTATGAACTTACCCGAAAAAAATTTTGGCGGGCCCGTACGTGAGTACCACGCTTACCCAGGAGCTGGGTTTGAGCTTATTAATACCTACTTGGACGGGGAACATCCCCAAAGATTTCAGTTTTTTAGCTTCTCAGATCCCCGAGTTATCAACTTACCCGTAAAAAACTTTGGCGGACCCGTACGCGGACACCACTCTGATAATAGCGCCTCTTTTGGGGATTGAGATACGTACGTGCATGTAGATTAAGTCTCCAAAGTTTCAGCCCTGTAGTTTTTGTAGGCCTTGAGATGAAAAACCGTGACAGACGCACATACACACGTAGACAACCCCTCTTCAATATGCATTTTTATGCGTATTGCGCTGCGTAACAGCAGTACCAAATGCATATTGTCACGGGGTTGTCTATGTGTGTGTCAGGAGCAATTTGTCCGCGACTTTCAACTTAGGAACCACAAAAGCTAGGAAGCTGAAAATTTAAGGGAACGTTCCCCACCCACGTGTGACCCCGCAAGGGAACCACAAAAGCTAGGAAGCTGAAAATTTAGGGGAACGTTCCCCACCCACGTGTGACCCCGCAAATCGGGAACCCAAAAGCTAGGAAGCTGAAAATTTAGGGTAACGTTCCCCACACCACGTGTGACCCCGCAAATTTAAATTCAGCTTCCCCGTACCCGCGGGTAACGCGTACGGCCCTGCACGTGTGACCCCGCAAATTTAAATTCAGCTTCCCCGTACCCGCAGGTGACACGTATGGCCCCGTAGAAGTTTTTTACGGGTAAATTAATATCTCTGGGACCACGGAGTCTAGGAGGCTGAAATTTTAGGGTAATGACTCCCTGCCCACGTTCAACCTTGCCCATTCAAATTCAGCGTTCCCGCGCTCTCAGGTATCACCTACGGACTAGTGGACGTTTTTACGGGTAAATTATTATCTCAGGGACCACGGGGTCTAGGAATCTGAAATTTTAGGGTAATAACCCCCTCCCCACGCTCAACCTTGCCTATTCAAATTCAGCGTTCCCTCGCTGTTGAGTATCACCTACGGCCTCGTGAAAATTTTGGTGGCTAAACTGTAAACTTGGGAATCACGGAAAGATATTCATCCTTCAGGATTTCAAATTCAGCTTTCATGTGCTGGTGCGTGAAATTTTTAACTGTTTTCCAGTGTTTGAACTACTTTTGCATAGACTAAAGTACAACGCAGTGAAAGTCATTAATAGGCA